AAACAGAAGTCATAACTTCACTTCATGAGTGATATTTCAAAAAATGGACCCTTCCTAGAAAGTTATTTAAATTATATTATGTATAAACATATGAATTATTTGAATTATTCTAGAACAAAAAAAAAACAAATAGATATTCCTATATTTTCTCTCAAATTATATATGAATAAAATCTCTTCATATCTTTTTATTTACAATGTAAATCTATATATTTCATTTTTCATTAACATAAACTTATAAATTACTAATTAATTTCGTATTTATTTAAGATAAAAGTATATTTCATTTTTTACTTAGTTTCTTAAAACTATATTTAGTTAATTTTATGATTATTTAAAAATTAAACCTATATTTTACTTTAACTAAAATAAAAATTTAAATATCAAATTATTTTTTAATTATAAATAAAATCATGTACATGTATGTATTAAATTTTTCATACTAATATATAATACTTTTCAATTAAATTTTTGATTTTTAACCTATAATATTTTCAATTTAAAATTTTGTATCACATGATATATAATATATTATCACTGAAAATTAAAAAAAAAAAAAAAAAATTATTGCATGTGGTCTATAAAATTTTTATGTTTTAATAAATATAGATTAAACAATTAATAATGTATTAAATATTATAATTAATCATGTAAAACAAATAATTATATCTGTAAAAATAAAAATAATCACCCGCACGGTTGTGCGGGTCAAAATCTAGTATATATTGATTCTTCAGTTTGTATCAATAGATAATTAAGTATACTGCGACAGGTGTAACCGAATATTGTATATGTTATCCGGTTAATGGCATATAGTTATCCAATTAATGTTTTAGTCATGCCCCGAAAAATAGCAAATGGTTATACAAATCATATATATATACTTCTATTATGTTTGATTAGTGATATGTATTACTTGATATTGTATTTGATATCTGTTATCCTAAATGATACCATAAAACCTGATTCACATCCACTTATAATCAACTTTTTTATCACTGTCACGTATTAAATCACTAAATTATATTTGTCTTTATTAAAATCCGAACTGGTTCTTTAAATTTATTGTTTAGTTTTTCGCATTAAATGTTTAGGACTTGTGTTTAGGATTTAGTAACCTGATAGTATAAGATACAAGTAACCTTGAATATATAACACATTTAGAATACTTGGTATATTGTTTTAATTTAGGGTACATGGTTTAGTGTTTGATTTACAAGATATCGAGAATATTTTTTAATAAATCATCACCTTTAACTATTTGAGTTCAATCATGTTTAACTCTCAAATTTTCCGTGCAAAATTCTTTTAAACTTTTTAATACAATACGTTAATATCTACTAAAAAAATTTGGGATGTCACTGAAGGTTGGACAAGAAAACACAGTAGTCAGACTTTGTTTCAGGTGTTTTATTTTGACACCAATAGTTATAGATAACCAAATTAAGCCTTTGAGTTTTGACGACCCTACTGAACCGAACCCATCTAAAGTTCTTGTTTGGTACAGTTCAAAAACTTCATATGTTTCTACCAAACCGAGTTGAAGCTCTTGGACGCCCATCCCTAATGTCTGTCAATAAAATTATTTAATTTAAGTGTATGTTTCATTTCTTTTAAGTAACTGTACCTTTCGAATAACTAACACATACAACAAACTATTTTAATTATATAGCAGCTTAGAACATTAATGTTCAGAGACAAGCAGAGAGACATTTCATGTGTCTATACAAAACATATACACATTCATGTCCTTCTAATAGCTTTTCAAAGAAACAATTATTGAGCCTCAAATCCCACAAATACTGACTCTTCTATAAAACATGCAAGTTAACAAAATTTAGCCTAAAGTAAAATTAGTAACTACCCAAATAGTAACAGGTAATTTCAAATTACCACATTCCTAACTATTTTTCTTATCATTACTCCGATATAAATAATACAAAATATCTCCAGTTCTCCACCGGCATTCTCCTAAATATTCTAAGCTAGTTGGTTTGCCTGATTTTCATGTTATTCCTTCCTTTAGCAAAGAGTTATTGGGTTTACTCGTCATTTTTCTAATCTTATTTAAAGTAAAGACGATGGATAGTTTATAAACTAATATGTCAAATTTACTCCTCCGAGTATGGTAGATAAAAAATGTTCAAAAAGTTGAATTTACGATTAATGTATACAAATTGTTGTTCCCATGTGAGATGATTGTGAGAAGTGAGCTGGACTTTGTAAAAATTGGGGAATATATAAACGCTCACCCAATACGCATATACTATGCTAATTTGGGTGGACCATTAAATTGTATTAGATAAATCAAAGGAAAGTTTATTTTTCTTGAAAAAGATTTTGATTAAATTAGGAGGCAAAGGGAGCTCTATGAGGAGTGCCTTTACGTCGCCTAGAATTAGAAGTACGAGTTGGAGGATGCGTGCCTTTGTGCGTTTCTTGTTGTCTTTCTTTACGCAATCTCTCTTCTTCCTCTTCCTTATTCTTCCTGATTCCTTCAGCCTGACATTTTTATGTCACATTATATGACAACTAGGGACGCAAAAGAAAACTGATAACTATGCATCCAGTTTTCTCTAGATATGACAATTGATAGGTTTCCCGGTTCATGATTTACCCGGTTATAAAATAAAATTCGTGCATATAGAGCAAAATTGTTGGTAAACATACCTTGCAACCCAAGGAACAGAAGCGAACTGGATCAAGAAGCGTTCTGCAACAAGTCTCGCAGAAGTAGGAAATGGTTTTGGTGGTAGATGACGTGGCGCCATGAGAAGAGTTCTTAGGCTGAGGTCTTTCGTTTAAGAAAAGAACCCTCGCGCTATTGATGACATAAGTTTGCACTCCTCTTATGTCTAATACATTCTCTATCTCCGATACTCTAACCACATTATGATACGACGATCTTCTTATCTGCAGAGTCATTGTTAGCCCAATGATTAAAAAAAAAAAAAAAAAAAAACTGGACATCCTTCAATAAAACCAATGGTGAAGAGTGAATAATGATATATGTATGCAATGTGGTGATCATACCTGAAGGACGGGATGATCAATGTGGAGGGAGGTTCGGCAGTAGATGCAAAACGCAGCGTTTTGACATGAGAGACAGAACATGTTGCATTCATTTCGCGGTGTCTCGCAGTGTCGTGGGCAAATGGTGAAATAGTTTGTTCTTAAGAGAGCTTCCAACCATTTCGGCTCCTCCATTTTATCTCTCCTGTTTATGTTATTCAAATAAAAAGTAGGTTAATTATAAACAACATAAGAAATGAGAAGATCCACACACCATTCTATGAACAATGTAGTAACAAACGAAGACCATATATATACGCGTGACATTTGCTTTACCTTAATGAAGATGATCAGGAGGGGAGAAAAGAGGGAGAGAGAGAAAGAGAGATGGTAGATTATTTGTTTTAGAGACCAGAGCAAGAAAATCAGATTTTAAGACTAAAAGAGAAAAAAGAAGAAGAAGATATCACTGTTATAAATAATATTATTGGGAAATGAAGATTTTTATTTTATTTCTTCTTATTTAGGAGTGTGGCAGATATTCTGCATCTTTTGCTTATTTATTTATGGGGTTTGGTGATAAAACCTTTCAACTATTTTTGAATCACAAAAGACCTCTCAATTTGTACTTTTTTAATGTTTTAACCTATAAATTTATAAACCGTTAACGTCTGTCAATGATTGGAAAATTTTTTGGAAATTTTTTTTTTAAATAAAATATCTTTGAGCGGCATTATAAAAACATTTTTTTATGGAAACTGGTCAAAGGAAAGAATCACGAAATTGTTTTTTTTTCTAAGTAACAATGTTTCTTGTTAATTAAGAATACATTGCCTTAGACTAAGTGACTATAAATTGACAGCAGAACGATGGTAGCCTAAGGCCTCGATTGGTACAGCAGATGATAAAACAGTAGCAGTATGCTGCTGAAACAGTATGCTGCAGAAGCTGTATGTTTTCATTAAAGTTTTTAATAAAGTGATTGGCAGAGCATTAGCAGTATACAATTTTAAAATTATCATAATAGCTAGTAAAATACTATATTTCTTTTAAAATAATATATATTAATAATATATATTTTATTAAAAATAATAAATTTTATTCATTATATAAATTATATTTAAAATTGTAAAAATTTGTTTTAAAATATTAAATTATTTTTGGATATAAACATATTTTAAAATTATTAACTAAATTAATTAATTAATTATAATTTTATATATAAATTAATTTTAATTTATATATATATAATATTATTATTTATTTATTGGCAGAGCAGTAAATGACTCATATATAAAATTATGATAAAAATTAATATATAATTTATTTATTAGTGTCTAAATAATATGTTTATATCTATAATATATAAATATATATTATGTTATGTTTGTTATTAAAAATAAAGAATTATATATGTAATTACATTAATTATATTATTTTAAATGTGAAATATTGTTCTTTTAAAAAATTTAATTATAATTTTTATTCTTATTTTTTAAATAGAAATTTATATTTAATTATAAAAATATTTTTTATATTTTTAAACAACAATTAATTAATTATATATAATTATTATTAAGTTTTCTATTTTCTATTTGCAAATGCTCTCCCAAAAGCTCTATATGAGAGCATTGACCAAATAGCATTTGGAGAGCATTTGCATTTGGTAAATGTTTTTCTAAATGATTCTTTGCCAAATGTTGATTGGATAATAGAGAACATAATGCTTATACTAATGCTCTACCAATCAACCCCTAAGTACAAAAAGAACATGATCACATAGTTGATTAAGAAAAGTTTGGCTATAAGAAAATAAGGGCAGGTTATTAATCCATTGACCTACCCTGATTTTCTTATAATCCCACAAAGATTACTAATCAAACTTTCATTACTTGGAACCCTTGTTCTGAAACTCGTTAGGCGCTATACGTGCGGCACTCATGGGCGTAGCGATTTATTAGAAAAGCAGAAAAAACTCGGGGGAGTACGCGGGACAGAGTTTTTAATACTTTTTTATGTATAATACCTTATTTATACATATAATACACAATATTTATGTATAGTACATGTTTATGTATAAAATATTCTTCATATCAAAACTATAAAATTTTAAATACATACTAAAACAAATCACAAAATATACTTATACGATTTTACTATCATAAGTATTTATACATAAATATTGTGCATTGTAAATAAAATAAGTATTATACATTTAAATTAAAAAATATACTGCGGTAAATTTTTGTTTACTTTAATTAAAATTATATTTTTTAAAAATTTAAACTAAAATATTTTGATACAACACAAATATTCAAATTCAGAAAAGTGAATTCACTATGAACATATCATATATATATAGTAGTTTATTACAATCACTAATCAGAAATTTTATTTAAAATGTTAGTTATATTGACCAATGTCCAACCAGAAAAAGTTGAGCAAAAGTTACACTTCTCTAGTTTTAATGTCCAGCAAATAATGACTTATTTTAACACTGTATTTTATTATTGAATCTGATTTGTAACATATTACATCATAGAAGAAAAACAAAATGAGAAACATAAGCTAATGAAACTTCCACACCGAAAACTAGCGAGGACAAACATCATAGATGCCACATTAGCGATTACAAACTAGTCTTGTTTCAAAATAAGGTAGATTAGGTGTTCCCGATCCCACAATAAGAGACGGACTTCTAATACCTTTAGTGAAAACATGACAATAATTCTCATCTTCTAGATAGATATTCTTCTTCATTGCCTTTATCAAATTTGTCCAGAATTGGCTTAAAATAAGCTACCGTACAAGCTTGAATGCAAAGTAAAATCAGATGAATAGTTTGGATTGATGGTTCAGATGCTCTCTCACCGCCTCAAAAGCACAGACCCAAAAAGATACATCAAATCCAATTCATCACAAGAGAAAGGACACAAGCAATAAAATACTAATAACTACGATCCTAAGGACAACCAAACTCCCGTAAAGAAGAGCATCATGTATATCATAAGGATAAAATCCAGAATGTAGCCTAAAGCCGGTGCACATGAGCTAGTCATAAACAAACTCGTTGGTAAAAGACAAACGCTTCAACATCATTGTTATGAAGAGACCAACAACATCAAACAAAGCCATACGAATAAAAAAACAAATGCCTTAGATCTGCCTTGAATCCTTAATGACGGCAACAAAATAAAGCCTCACTGAAAGAAGGCGAGCCACCCACACCACTAGACACAAAGAAAAGCAAAGACGGTAACAATGATAAGAAACCATAAATGATAGAGACAAACTAAAACTAAAGCTCTACGACAAACCAAGGACTGACTGTAAATGAAACCACATCACAACACACCGACATCCCAAAAAGAATAGAACAACTTAGCAGGAAGAATAGTCTCTCTGGTGCCGGCGAGAACCTCCAGTCACCGGAGAAACTGCAAGAAAGATGGGAGGCGGCGGGGGAGCAATGATATACCATGGATTTTACCCACTTTCAGCTATGGTATATAAGTATTTTAAGATATATTTATTATGTTTTGGAGTCTTTTTAGAGTATTTACAGGTTCAGGTACGTTCTGGAGAAATATGGTGATTTTGGTGTCTTTTGGAGACTTTTGAGTGCAAAACTACATAGACGCGTCAGATGTTTAGCTATGGATGGAGATCTTTCCACCGTTAGATTTCGCCCATCTTTTGACACAAGATAGAGCGTTGAGTTATCTTTCCAATTCCACCAGTTTGAGGTCAATCAACATCCTGTAGCAGAAGTTATGCCCCGTTTTAGTGAAGAGTGGTAAGTCTTTCTCGTGAGAGGAAACTGTCGAGAAGATAAAAGAGAATCGATCGATGCAACACTACTTGTGTCGATCGATAGAGATCCCAAAACGTGAGCCGAGTATGTTTTATGACTGATTTTGGCCCAGGAGTTACCAAAAATTACCAGAATGCCCTTGGACGACCATAAACCATGTTTATGTATTTGTAAGCCATTGTTGACAGCTAGAGACATTAACTAAGCTTTATTTTCGTTGTTGTAAGTTCTAGGAGAGAAAGGAGGAACTCCTATCAGAGTCCTCCTTGAACTCCATTGGTTTTGGTTTTATATTATTTTTGTTTTTCATCTATTCATCTATGATTTCTATGACAACTATCATGTCTGAATAGATCCATCTGTTAAGTTTAGGGTTCAGATAGGTTATGAAGGATTAGCCCAAAATATAGAACTGCTAAGTTGTGATATCCATCATAGGATTGTTCTTACTCTTTGTGTTCTAGAGTCATGAACTAGAACCCTGATCTTAGAATCATTAGGTGCAATTGTGAACGCTTGGTCTTTCCTCTGAACTGAATTCTATGAGCTAGGATTACTAGGTGCATATGAAAGTTGATTTAGGAATCCTAGTGAACACGTATTCAACCCTATAGGATAGTCGATCGACGGAGTGAAAGGTGTATCGATCAATATTCCTATAGAATAATCGATCGACACTTTCTTGTGATCAATAAACGGAAGTTGAGAACCAAGATCTAGATATTAGACTATCTATACAACGAAGGTTGTTAGATTTTTACTCCCAGTTAAGTTCTAATATATCTAGCAGCTTAGTAACCTATATCATTATAATCCTGATTTCCTGAATATAAACCCTAGATCTAGCAAACCATCCTTCCATCAAACAACTCTTTGCCAAGCTGAACAATAGTCTTGTTCATCTTGTTTATTGTTTCGTTTATTACTTGCTATATTTACTACTTCATCATTTATTTACTGCTTTATTATTATTTACCTAGATTATTCATAATTACTTAGATTTAATTGGTTCCCTAGCTCCTTGTGAATTCAATCCCTAAATAATACAAATGAACCTCTTATTTGAGAGAGTAATTCACTCGTTAGGGTAATTTGAGTGATATCAAGCAAATAATGACAAAGAAGAAAACTATAGAAACATTTATGAAAGGAAAAAAAAAAGAGGAAGAGTTATAACCAACATCCTACGTCGGCTAGATGAAACAAACGAAGACTTTGAGTGATCTATCAATGAGATACTTCTTTTCGAGTATAACCTGCAAAATTGGACTTCTAAACGGCCCAAAATTCTGTCAAACAGTTTAAACATTGTTAAATTAGTCGGCTAAAAAATCGGTATCATACCGATTTTTTATATACACGGCCGATTAAGAGGTGGGCCAGCCGATTAAAAGATGGGCTGAGTAAGTTATCCAGTTTAGCCTAACTCACTACGGAACCCTCACGTCTAGCGCTTAGACGACCGATTAATCGCCTAGGCGATTGCACTTTTGAACAAGGCTTGGAACACATATTATCCGATAGCCCAACTTTTCTTAATTAGCTTTACAGTCTCGTTATTTCTGTATCTAGGCTACCACTGTCCCACTATGAGTTTACAATCATCT